TGATCGAAAACACCAAGCAGTCAAACACAAGCGGTCGGTGTGCGAGCTGCGGCGAAGCACACCTTTTCTATGGCAGTGAATGCAGTATTGGGCTGCTAAGTCTTGAGCCAAATGAATTATGTCGAAAGCGGACTGAAGAGCTACAGATAGATGTATGTACAAGAACAGGCGCTACACACGTATAGCGTAGACACGCCCAGGGGGACCTAGGACCCTACTAAACACAAAACAGACACAAATTTTCTTCGTGTCGAAGCTTACGATCTCTAAAGTACAAAAGGTTCGCAAAACGTTGCAAATGAATTCGAAAAGTTCTGCCTTCGCAGAACTCGACCGTAGATGCCATTCTGGCTCATCTAGGTTGCGTCAGATAATCTTTACAAATCTACGAGAGGCATATTTGCTGTATCGAACGTTCCGGAATGTCGGAAATCTTCTTTCTCAAGTCGAATCATCAAATTGAAGTCTAATCTATAAGGCCTTAAGTTCAAAAATATTTGCATTTTACCTGCATTTAGCTTTGTGGCATTTACCTGTAGTCGGCCGGAATATCGGCTTTTTCAGACTACTGCTCTGGCAATGCTCTAGCCGGTATATCGGCTTCTTAGAGCAGAGACTACCTACCAGTCCCTGTGGCCTCGGTACCCGGGGTTCCAAGATGACGAAGAGGAACCGGTGTACCACCATGAGCTTGACGCTCCCGAGGACCAGGGCTGGTGCCAGCCAGCTTGGCGAGCTTGTTTCTTCTGCCGAGATTGTTCCTTCAAACGTTCAAGCCGCTCGGCATTCTTCTCGCCACGCTTCTGGGCGGATTGCTGGCCACGAACTCTGATCTTGTGTCGGCTGGCAAGCGAAAAATTGCACTGAAATGGATGGTGGTATCCCAAATCGCTGCTCTTCAGACACAGATCCAGATGGTTCAGGTGCTTGAGGAATTCGTTGACCTTAATGGTAGTCTCTTTCTGGCGTGGAGGCTCCTCATATCCGACACGTCCACGATCATCCGGAATATCGGATGTCCTTGACCGCAACGTATGCATGTCCTTGCCGTAATTTAAGGCGATCTGCAACATGCAGTCGCAATCGGCATCCAGACCTTCCAAGGCAGCGAGCTGCTCACTGGCGAGGGTTGAGACCTCCCAGTTATAGGTGATGCGCTTACTCGGCTCGCGCTTCTTGTTCGCAGAAACAAGAATCTGGTCAAGGATGGTTAGGACTGCTCCGGTTCCTGGATCGGCATGTCGATCGCCCCGGAAGTTGCGGTTCGTGAACTGGTTAGCATCGCACGCGATGACGTCCACCTGGTCTGCCACGGCCGTGATCAAAATTTTCATGATGGCGTTCTTGCCGGCCGTAATACCTGACTGAAAGGCATGTGCATTGATGTGGAAAGTGCAAACTCGAAGTTCAGGCATGTGCATGGGCTTGCAATCATTCAAGCTCCCGGTCCGGAATGTCGGACACTCGTGGAACAATGCCTCTGCATCCACTGGTGAAGATTCAATGTATGTGGTGGATGCTTGTGCTACAGCTAAGGTGTCAGGGCAGACTGATGCCTCCATGTTAATTACTGGATCAGCGCCTTCTTCAAGGGCAACACGGAGGTTCTTTCGGACGCCACGGTCATCGGTGATGCCTCCATCTGTCTCTTCTTCGACCTTTCCCCAGATCACGCGGAATGTCGCGGCATGGGCTACCCAGGCTAACCGTTCGCCTTCAAGTTCAATCCTACGAATGAGCTCCAGCCTTGAAGTGCCAAGTGGATCACTGGAGCATATGGCTGCGATAGCGGGAGATTCGCCATCCGATGTAGCCAACACGCAAAGGCATTTGTATTGGTTAATGTTGGATCCTGATTAGTAAAGGGGGGTCCCCCCCCCCTCAAACAAATAGGGGTCCCTCTATAATAAACTATCACCAAAACAAATTTGGATTCCTGGTGAGGGATCTTTTGTAATTGATTGTAGTATTCATTACTGTATCCTTTTGCTTTGCAGCCTCAGATCTTCAGCTCAAGAGAAGCCCCAAGCTCTCAGCTTCTTCCTCAGCTTTCATGGCTTCCTTCTCAGATGAAGTCCTGGTGAGGGATCTTTTTGGTTCTGAGACCTCTTCTGTTGCTTGGTTGTGCTTAATCAAGTGATGTGTTTGGTTTGCTCAATCCCCTTGTTGCTTTTCTCAGCTTCTCAGGGGGAACGCCATTAGTAAGAACCTCAGGAGACCATCATCAACTACAGGAGGTTGCCTCAGGAGCCTGACATCTACTGCCCCAATGGGCATAGGCTGGTTCTCAGCAGGATTCCTTGGCAGAGTGGCTGCACCTCTTCTGGTTGAATCTGATTCTTTTGCTTTCCTGTTTGGGTTAGTTTGACTTGGCAAGGTAGTGGTAAAGTTTGTTGTTTTCAGGGCCATGGAAACTAAGGCAGGCATTGCCCAGGGGTGAATGGCTGGCCAGCGTGGGCGATTGCTCAGTAGTACAATGATGTGTTCCTCTCACTCTTATTGAAAAACTGTGTAATAGTTATATATATATAGTTTTATTTTTGCTTTAGACTAAGTGCATGTCAGTGGTGGGTGGGTGAAGTGGTCACCAATAGACAAGCTGAGGCTTTGCGCTCAGTTGCCTTGGGCTGACCTGGTGGCTCAGGATGGGAAGGGCCACCTCACAGTGTCTCAGTTCAAGGGCAAGAGGGGCTTCATGGCTTCTAAGGGCAAAGGCTCTATGCCTCAGGGCAGTGCTCAGCCAAGTGCTCAGCCAAGTGCTCAGCCAAGTGCTCAGGAGCTACCTCCTCCTCCTCCTCCCATGTGCCACTCAGTTCTTCTTTCAGGGCTCCTCAGATCACACTGAGCTTGAGGAGTTCATCAAGAAGACTATTTTGGACATCTCAGAGGCTGCTGAGCCAGCAGCCATCACTGAGATCACTGAGCGCATCAACAAGTGGGGGGGGGAAGTTGGAGGGCATTGGAGCTGATGCCATGGAGTATGAGAGGAAGCTCCTCCAGGCTCAGGAAAAACTCAGGACTGAGTGCGAACTCCTGAGAGAGGCTGATTTGCAGCTGAAAGATTTGAGGCAGGTGGCCTCAGAGAAGGTCACTGAGCTGGAACAATCTCAGTCTGCACTTGCCCAGAAAAGGACTCAGCAGCTGGCCAAGCAGCTTGCTGAGGCAGGGCTTTCTCAGTACTCTGCTGCTGAGCTTGAGAGCCACCTCAGCCAAAGGCACCTCCTCCTGAGCTGGAGCCTAAGAACAAG